TGAGACTCTTATCTCCAACAAGCCACTCAGAAAACCAGAAGTGGCACTGTGGCTCAAGTGGTAGAGCACCAGCCTTGAGCTGAAGAGCTGAGGGACAGCGCCCAGGCCCAGAGTTCAAGTGCCACAATCACCACCAACAACAAAATAATATTAATAATAATAAATGTTATTTTTAAACATTTTTTAGCTGAAGGCATGGCTTTCATGGTAGAGCACTTGCCTAGCCAGTGTGAAGTGGTGAGTTCAAACCCCCCAGTAAATAAGTAAACACATATGAATAAAGTTATAAAATTGCTGGGCACCAATGGCTCATACCTGTAATCCTAGCTACTCAGGAGGCTGAGATCTGAGGATTATGGTTTGAAGCCAACCCAGAAAAGTCCATGAGACTCTTAACTCCAATTAACCACCGGAAAACCATAAGTGGCACTGTGGCTCAAAGTGATAGAGCGCTACCTTTGAGCACAAAAGCTCAGGGACAGCGCCCAGGCCCTGAATTCAAGCCCCATGACCAACAGGGGAAAGAATAAAGAATAAAATAAGCCAGGGACTGGTGATTCACACATGTAGTTACTTGTAGTTACTTGAGATCTGAGAATCACCGTGTGAAGCCAACCTAGCCAGGAAAGTCCATGCAACTTTTATCACTAATTAAGCCCCAAAAAGCCAGAAGTGGAGCTTGTGGCTGAAGTGGTAGAGTGCTATCTTTGAGCTCAGGGATTTGCTCCCAGGCTCTTGAGTTCAAGTCCCAGGACAGGCACAAAACAAAAATATTACAACTTCATTCTGTTTTGAATACAACCATTTTTCTGATAGTTTATTCCTGAGTAAGAACAAATCTCAGACAAAAAGTTGTAGGCCCTCTTTCTATTCTCAGCAGACTGTCCACATTCCAGAAAATGATCTCCCTCTAAAGGGACACACAGTGATCAAGAAGGCCCCCTGAAAAACCCTCCAGAGGGATTTCAACCACATCAGTGTGGAACTCAGTCCCCTTAGAAAGAAAAAGAAGAGCCTCCAGGTTGACAAAATGGTGGGAAAGAAAGGAACTTGTTGGGGCTGGGAAGGTGGCTCAGTGGTAGAGCGCTTGCCTTGCATGCATGTGGCCCTGAGTTCGATTCCTCAGCACCACATAAGCAGAAAAAGCTGGAAGTGGCACTGTGGCTCAAGTGGTAGAGCACCAGCCTTGAGCTGAAGAGCTGAGGGACAGTGCCCAGGCCCAGAGTTCAAGCCCCACGACCAACAGCAACAAAAAGATATTCCCACAGATGTTCCACTGCCTTGAGTTCGCAGAGGATCCAAGAAGAGCACCTAGCCCAACATTAGAGCATCCACAAAGACTTCAGGAAATTGCTTCTTTCCCTCCTTTCCTTTCTTCCTTCCTTTCTTCTTTCCTTCTTCCTTCCTTCCTTCTTTCCTCCCTAACTTCCTTCCTCTATCTTTCCTTCCTTTAATAAAATAGAGAAAAAAATTTTAAAAAGGAACTGGTTTTCTGTAGATATGTACACAACACAACCGCCAGTGTTCCACTGGGCTTCCATTACAAAATGAGGTCTGGGTGTGCTCACTTCCCCATCTATATAGTTACTCGGGAGAATGAGTCTTTAGTTGAAATCCAAAACTTCTTAGGTGAGAAATATATCCACAGAGTTTGCATAAGGAAAGATGTGGCTTGTCCAGTAACTCAATCCCAGAAAGATGAATTCATCCTTAAAAGAAATGATGGTTGAACTTGTTTCAAACCCAGGTGCTTTGATTCAGCAAGCAACAACAGTTCAAACAAGGCTATCAGAAAAATGTGGGATGGTTTCATCAGTGGGCTGATGAGTAAGACATAAGTTAACCTGGCTTCAGAAATACCATTTAGGATCCTGATGCCAATTTGTGGTACTACAACAATGCAATAAGATGGGCTGGGAAGGTGGCTCAGTGGTAGAGCGCTTGCCTTGCATGCCTGAAGCCCTGGGTTCGATTCCTCAGTACCACATAAGCAGAAAAAAAAAGCCAGAAGTGGCGCTGTGGCTCAAGTGGTAGAGCGTTAGCCTTGAGCTGAAGAGCTGAGGGACAGTGCCCAGGCCCAGAGTTCAGGCCCCACAACCGGACCCAAAAAAACAAAACAAAAAAAAAAACAATGCAATAATTCTATTGATTTGAGAGGAAAAAAATAGTTGAGTCACACTAGAGACACCCACCATCCTTCACAGTTGTAATATTCTGTGGGTGACATTTAATCAATGTGATTTTACAGGGATCTACACTAATCTTGTCACCAGCCCTGTAGCCACTGAGCCTGCTTCCCACCACCCAGGAGGGAAGACACTTAGCCACGTGTTCCTGTCTCATTACAGGAGAATGAGGACCAGGCGAGAACTGGAGCCCAAGGGCCCCAAGCCAGCTACCCCTCCCGCCGTAGACCCCAACAGCCAACAGCAGCCTGCAACTGTGACCTTCAGTCCTGTAGACCTGCCCTCGGAGACTCGGTGACCTCTGCCCCAGAGCGACCCTTCATTCCCACCCCACCTCTATCTGAAGAGCTTTCTCCAGTCAGACCCCGAAGCATACTTCTCTGCCTGGCAGCTTCATAGGAGTTCCTTCTGTTCAGCTGTGCCAAAGCATCCTTCATGCCATCGCTGCATCCCTTAGCCTGGTTCTGCTCCGCCCTACCCAGCCATGTCCACATCCCTGCTGCCACCTTCCCCGAAAGGCTGTACAATGCTCTTTTGTCATCTGTTGAGGTGGGGGCTATGGCTTTGGTTCTCTTCCTACAAATGCTATAGGTAGATAAACAACCAAGCAGACAGGCAAACAGAAAGACAGGTAGACATTGTCCTGATTCTCCTGCTCAAGAGTCAGCAAACACTCCTGAGAGAGGTACTCCGGGTCTGCCAGAGGGACCAGCTTGGATCTGCCATCTGCCCAGCTATGCAGAGCAAGACAGTTAGTTGATCCTGTGGTGGGGAGCAGGGCCCAGAGAACTAACCTGAGCTAACTACTCAGAAAACAAACATGGTCATGTTTAACCTGGTGCAGTATAAGATAACTACGGCTAGTTTGAGTTGACAGTTTACCCTGTTTCTCCCCCTTAAGAAAGATTACAAGCTGGGTACCAGTGGCTCACACTTATAATCCTAGCTACTCAGGAGGCTGAGATCTGAGGATCACAGTTCAAAGCCAGCCCTGGAAGGAAAGTGAGATTCTTATCTCCAATTAACCACCAGAAAAGCAGAAATGGTGCTGTAGCTCAAGTGGTAGAGGGCTAGCCTAGAGCTGAAGAGCTCAGGGACAGTGCCCAGGCCCAGAGTACAAGTCCCATGACCAACCAAAAAAAAAAAAAAAGAAAAGAAAAGAAAAAAGGTTACAAACTAGGGCACCAGTGGCTCACACCTAACTACTCTGGAACCTGAGATTTGGGGATCGTGGTTGGAAGCCAACCAGGACAGAAAAGTCTCCGTGAGACTCTTAGCTCCAATTAACCACTCAAAAACCAGAAGTGAGGGCTGGGAATGTGGCTTAGTGATAGAGTGCTTGCCTAGCATGCATGAAGCCCTTGGTTCAATTCTTCAATACCACATAAATGAAAGAAAATGAAAAGAGAAAAAAATTATATTAAAATAAACAAACTGGAAGTGGCACTGTGGCTCAAAGTGGCAGAATGATACCTTGAGCACAAGGAGGCTCAGGGAGAGTGCGCAGGCCCTGAGCTCAAACCTTACAACCAACAGCAACCAAAAAATGGAAGTGGTGCTATGGCTCCAGTGGTAGAGCACTTGCCTCGAGCTGAAGAGCCCAGGCCTAGAGTTCAAGCCCCAAGACTAACAAAAAAAAAAAGGTTACAAGAGAGTTAGGGGTATGGTTCAAAGGGTAGAGCAGCCAAGCCCCTGCCTAGCAAAGCATAAGGCTCTGAGTTTAAAATCTCAGTACTGGAGGGGGTGGGGGGAGGCCGAGGAGGGAGGGAAGAAGAAAAGAGGGAAAGAAGAAAAGTTACAAGAGCTTGGTATGGTAGCAATTATCAATAACCCGGTTCCTCTTTATTTGGATTCTGAGAAGCCCTAACTGTCCTTTGACAGCCAGAGACTGAGACAAAAGCTAAAAGACTAATAACTTAGTGCTTCCTGTGCACTTGTGCCTTTCCTGGTCACCTTTGATAGACTGGAAACACATTCAAAGCATCCCATTCACAAACCATTTCTCTGTGGAGAGCTGACCTCTGACCCTTAAGCCGGAGGACAATCTGCTGATATGGGTAAATATTTTGGAATTAAGAAGCCTTCCCTTGAAGCTTGTTGTATGGCCTTGGAAAACATGATTCAGATTCTCTATGCTCAGATGGTTTCTTGACCAGGAAGTAGAAATGGCAACATCTGCTCTTTGGGCTGTTAGAAAAGCAGCTTGAGTATAGTGCCTGGCCCCCAGCAGACACGTTATAGATGGGAACCAGCCCTGTTAAGTACTTCTTTAGTTCAAGACATTCATTTTGGTTGCATTTTAATGATTCTGAAACCAGAATGTGTCTTATAACTAATAAGTCCATTTATATAGCTCCCCCTCCCCATCTTAAAAAGCTGGGTTTTAAGCCCAGTGTTGGTGGCGCACGGCTGTAATCCTAGCTATTTAGGAGGCTGAGATCTGAAGATCAACTTTCAAAACCAGCCTGGGCAACAAAGTCTGTGAGACTCTTATCTCCAATTAACCAGCCAAAGACCAGAAGTAGAGGTATGGATCAAATGGTAAAGCACCAGCCTTGAGTGGAAAACACAAGTGAGAACTGAGGCACTGAGTTCAAGCTCTGGTACCAGCAAAACAATAACATAAAAAGATGGTTTGGCATGTTCTAGCTCTGAAACTATTAGAGCCTGTGTCCACAGAGGAACCTTCTTGGGGTTGTCCCAGTATAATGTCCTTTTGCCAAATGAACAAGGCTTGGATATGGAGGAGGGAGGAGGAACAGTGTGGGGAGAGAGAAAAAAAAAGATTTTAATGTCTTGCTTTTCACTGATGAACATAACTCAAACCTCCCAGGATATTCCTTTGTGCAAACTGAGGTGCTACTAAATACATGAATACATGCTCCCCTTCCCAGGGGCCGGCAGCTGGCTACCTGTGTGCCTTTTATAATGGGACATCTGCTCCACACAGTCACCAAATCAATAAAAAGTATTAAATGCTTAAACATAAAAGCTTAAAAATAAAACAATTTAAATCAAACATGTGTCATGTTGATTTCAGTTGTTTAGATCTAACAAGTCCATCCCTCTTCTAAAGACTTCCATTTAGGGGCTGGAAAGGTGGCTCAGTGGTAGAGCGCTTGCCTTGCGTGCCTGAGGCCCTGGGTTCGATTCCTCAGCACCACATAAGCAAAAAGAAAAAAGCCGGAAGTGGCGCTGTGGCTCAAGTGGTAGAGCGCTAGCCTTGAGTTGAAGAGCTGAGGGACAGTGCCCAGGCCCAGAGTTCAGGCCCCATGACCGGACCCAAAAAAACAAACAAACAAAATAAAGACTTTCATTTATTGCTGGTTGCTGGTGACTCACATCTGTAATCATAGCTACTTGGGAGGTTGAAATCTGAGGCTGTGGGTTTGAAGTCAGCCTGGGCTGTAAGAGGGGCTGGGAATGTGGCTCAGGGGTAGAGTGCTTGCCTTGCATGCATGAGGCCCTGGATTCGATTCCTCAGCACCACATACACAGAAAAAGCTGGAAGTGGTGCTGTGGCTCAAGTGGTAGAGTGCTAGCCTTGAGCTGAAGAGCTCAGGACAGTGCCCAGGCCCAGAGTTCAAGCTCCACAACCAGCAACAAAAGAAAGAAAGAAAGAAAGTCTGTAACTCTTATCTCCAATGAACAACAACAACAAAAAAAAGGCCAGAAGTAGCTCTGAGGCTCAAGTAGTAGAGCGCTAGCCTTAAGCAAAAAGAGCTCAGGAACAGTGCCCAGGCCCTGAGTTTGAGCCCCTGGACTGGAACCAAAATAAAAAAGGCTGTAGGTCTTTGTAACTGGCTGCCTGCAGACCACTAGTGCTACAATAAAGATTCCAAAATTCAACCTCTCAAAATGTAGTTTCTCCATTTATATCTGACTTTCTCCACTTAGATCTGGCTTTATATCTGACTTAAGGTATAATTTATCACACAACATATGGTTCCCTGACCGGGAAACCAGTCACCCAGACCCCCGTGCCAAGGAGGGCACCTGGGTTCCTCGAAGCCTTGCTGGTGGACGGCCTCGGGGAGCTGGCTGCCCGGGGTCGGAAACCCCCCAGGGAGGCCCCCATGGACTTGCTGCTCCTCTGATAGCCAGCTTGCCAACACCAGATGTGATAGCCAAAAACAATCTTTCTGGAGTCACTCAGATATCTTCCGGAAGTAAGTCTCTGTTTGTCTTGTCTTCTGTTTGCATGCCTTCTGAATTCTGGGGATGGATCCATCTGGAACAGTGGAGATGATGGGGAGGGGATGCACTTGGGAACCCACCCCCTACCTCCAAGGGTGCAACAGCACCATGAGGTGGTGTGTTCTTTAGGGATGTGGTAGGGTAAGAGACTACCCGGCATAAAGCTGTGGTTGGGGGAGACTACTCACCACCTGGTGCCTAGTTTGCTCATGGTTGGGGGGGGTTCCCCAACCTGGCACCTGGTCTGGCTGTGGTTGCGGAGGACCCCTACCTAGCATCTGGTCCAGCCATGGCTGCGGGTCTCTGGTCTACCTACCTGGCATCTGGTAGTGCTCCCAAACTGTAAAGGAGTTGGGGAGTTGGGCTTGCTGAATGGGAGTGGCAGGCTCAGTCAACAGACTCTGGATTCGGTTTGCTGAGCAGGAGTGGCAAACCCACTGGGCAGACTTAGAGTTCTTGGTAAGGATGAGCTCTGGGCTCACTAAGTTCTTTTTCTTTTCTTTTCCAGTTCTGAGACTTGAACTCAGGGCCTGGACACTGTCCCTGAGCTTCTTTTGTTCAAGGTGTGCGCTCTACCACTTGAACCACAGCGTCACTTCCCGCCTTTTCTTTTTATGTGGTACTGAGGAATCAAACCCAGGGCTTCATGCATGCTAGGCAAGCGCTCTACCACTAAGCCATGTTCCCAACCCCTCATTAGGTTTTTGTCTTGCCTTGTTCTGTTTTAAAATTGATACCTCTTTTAAATGTGGATCAGCCTTGGGCTGGTCCCAAACCTGGTATGACGCCCTCTTGCCCAGCTGCAGTTGCAGGAGGTGGAGCGTTGAGGTGGGTGAGGTGGGTTTTTCTAGCAATCTGGCTAAAAGTGCAACTTAGTCAATGAGAACCTCCAAGGAGGGTCAGCAAGTTTGGGCCTTACCAAATGTTTTAAAGGATTATTACATTGTTTTAAAGAGGAACTTTAGTTAAAAGGTTTTCTAAGGATTCTTTATTTTGCAAGTCAAGAAAATCTAGTATTTTAGTGCATATGGCTGTTTACATTGTAATCAAGTTACCAGGCTTAGCAAAAAGGCATTGGAAACTTGTGGTTAATTTCCCTCC